CAAACATATCTCCTGATGGTGAAAGTGTCAAAAACATTTCAATCAGGGGGTCTACCCACAATTGGGTGATAGTAGGAGGGTCTATCCGCAACAATAGAACTACAGGGGTTCAGTCCACAATTAACCCTAGAAAATAATACAAGTAATTCACCAGTTTCTGTGCTGTATAATTTAATGTATGGAGGATTACCTTGACCAACAGAAAGATGGCAATGATCACAGACCAAGAGAGGGCATAAACAATGATATTTTTGTTCTCTTGGGATATATGAAGGTGATACACTAGCCCATATTGGTAAATGAAGAAGCGAAGTGATAGAATTATCTCAAAAATCCTAGAACCAAGAACCGAGTAACGGTGATGCGCATATTCAGCATTCCACCAAGATTCCCAGCTCTTCTCTGGTTGCACTCCAATGCCTCCTTTGTTGTTCATCCACTTAACCCAATCTGTCCAATCCTCTACAATCCTTCTCCAGTCAAATCCAGAAGGATTGAAAAGAAAAGGCGCAGCAAGCCAGGTTATAGCCATAAACCATATGGAGTATGTGATCATCATATATGCCGTGCTATCGTAGTAAGCTTTTCTGAACAAAGAGTAGACGATCAAGAGAAAAAGCAATTCAAATGCTTTAACAAAGTGGCTGCGGGAGTAAAGCTGATAGTTCTCAGTGAAACTTGCGTGGAAGACTACAAATTTGCGGCCTGTTGGCCTATACTTTGCACCGCCATGAAGAATTGTTTGACCAAAATAGTGGGCTTTTGTTCCGAGGGAGAATGTGAAGAAGATAGAAGCGAGTTGCAACTGCATGAGGATAAAATCACTCAAGGCTACACGAAATCCTTTTTCCAAGGCAAGTTCCATCGCCATGGGAAGTCCTGTGAGAAGCCCTAGTTGGAGGAAAGACTGTGATGCAAGAGCTGTTTCCAGAGATTTATTGTTAAGCATGCGGGCTTTATTAAGCAATGCTTTTTCTAGCCCGCTAAGGACAAGGTATAGCTGTCCATAGAGAAAAACATAAACGCCAAGAATTGATATCTGCAAAATTCAGCCAAGTGTACATGTTAGTCAGAACAGCGGACCAATACTAAGAACCTAAGGAGTGACCAGTAAAAGTTTTTCGTTTCACATACTAGGCTGTTGAAGTAAAATCCGACTGTCGTAAAATAAAAAGAAAGCATCCGGAAGAAGTCAAAACGACGACCAAGTCGATAAATATCACGGCTGAGTGCTTGCTCACTGTTTCCATTTGCTACTTTAGCCTCAAACTTGGATATCTGGTTGAGACCAACATCGCGACCTTTGCCGACTTGAATGTACTCATTGTAAGTCACACATCCCCGACGAAGTGTGGAATTAAATCCTGCAGTGAGTTAAGACTACATAAGAACAGGAATAAACATAACCAAACAATTAAAAGAAGTACCTGTCTTTACCTGCAAAAACATCCTCACTTAAGTTAATAATTCTTGATGCTTTACTTATGCCACCTCTTGTTAGATGAAATAGTCTGTCAAATAAATCTGGATGGCCATAGTGAAACCGCACCCTAGATATTAGAACAATGTGAGTAGGCTAAAGATGTACTGTAACATAGCACTGGACCATAATTGTGAGAAAAAGCTATGATATTAACAGGACTTTAACTTCGAAATAAATATGACTGATATTCTTATATAATTTACACCTACAATGTTATTTTAAAAATTCTACTCTGTAAGCTTTGTTCATTATTCCTGCTTTCGACACAGCCAGACATGCATTTATGCAGTGGGGCTACCTACCTGAGGGGATTTGCGAGGAACCTCTGCCCAATAGTAACAAAGCTAGACTCTTGATAGGACATAAACCCAGCAAGGGATGAAACACTGCATTCAAGAAGGGATTAAGTGTATTTTAAATATCAAAGGGCATTATGGTAATTTTTTATCTTGGTTTTACGAACAAAATAAAGAGATATGCAGCATGTTACATAAAGACCTTCCAGTGAATATATGCTCCCTGAGCCCAAGGATGGTTGGATAGCGATCCCCATGATGTTTAAGAAACTCTTGCAACAGATTCCTCACTTTGAAGGCTTCCTCCATATAATTGTCCTGAAAGACCCAGAATATATAGTTTGAAGAAAAGAAATAAAGCACAACGGGAGAAACAAGTCAAGCACATGCCTGGTTCATGTCAATTGTTTGGAGGGCATCTCCACGAGTGAAAATAATGGCATGATTTTGATTCTCAGGCTTCCCTTCTCCAATAATAGGTGGACCGGGCAGTTTGATACGATATATCTCCTGTAGGCATTGAAAGTAAACTCGCAATGTAAATAGCCCATAAGTTTTTCTACCCAATAATTGGGCTCTATTCAACATTTAGGAGGAGAATTAGCTAGAGAACTAGTAAAGTAAAAGATATTATATTACTTGGGTACTTCTATTAGGAAGAAGTACCTGTACCCGACACGTACCCATAGCTATACATGTACCCAAACCTCTTGGGCACTTCTTGAATATATGCATATGTTTATTTGGGCATATATTCAATTATATAATGCATATTTTAATTTAAAACACTCATCCATACAGTTCCTGGATGGATATTCTACACTTCACATCTATTTCTTACATATGGATCATATGAAAATAAAAAAACAATATTGATCTTATGTAAATTATTAATTTTAACACATACAAATATACATAATATGCATATATACCGTACCTTTTACAAATTTGGCGTGTCCCGTAACCGCACACGCACCAATACCCGTACCCATACCCATGCAACCTAGAAAAGACACAATACGTTCTTCATTTCCTACTCAGGGAATTCCCATATTTGTGTGCTCATTTTTCAGTCCTAGAAAAGACACAACTTTGTCACAATACGTTCTTCAATTCTACATTTTCTATTCTTGATATCTTTCTGAAGGTTGTTGACGGTGAGACGAATCATTTCCAAGCATACATTAAACTAACTGTAGCTATTTTGAATGGGTAGCCTTGTGAAGAAAGAGGCTTAAAGATTAGTACCTGGTCTAAATTGTTGTGTGCTTTGACTAGGACTGAAGAATAAACCTTGTGAGGCTTGTCCACCACTATTTCTTCCTTCTCTTCAATGTAGGCTACACGTAGAGATGGATACCTTCATTATAAACATCAAGATAATCAGATAAGGAAAAAATATATGATATCAAAATTTGAGAACATAGTATAATCATTGATCCATGTATTAGTTATGCAAAGACTAAAAAACACACCTTATCATCAAATCAATTATATCCTGAGCATGTGGGTCGCCAGAAGATTTTTGGTTTCCAAACTCTTGGCAAGAGATGACATATGTGAATTTCATGTCAATTAAAGCATCCAGTTGAGCTGCCCATGGTTGTTGGCTATTTTTCCTATAGTGATCTCTTTCAGAAGAAATCCTTCCCTTAAGAATATCTAGATTGTGGAAAATAAATCAATGTGAAAAAAGGTTCAACGACACAAAAAAAGAACATATAAGATTTCAACCCAAGAAAAAAGAAGCATTCAATTATGTTCTATATGGTTTCCTAAGATGAAACATTGTGATACAAAAACTATTTTAGGAATTGAAGTTATAGAAACCTTCATCCTCCTCACCTTGTTTGTTAGCCATGTCTAGAAATGCTTGTAATTTCAAGGCCTTCCTATAATTCATCATTCCTCTAACTAGCATGGTAACAGAATATGTAAGTCACATATGCTATATGAAACTTCACATAATAAAGTACGCGCAAGAATATGTAGGGGTCAAACAAAGAAAAAAAAATTCTGAACCAACCTGTACGACTCAGCGTTTGTCCGCGATAAGAAGCCCAATATCTGATCTCTTCACTAGGCAATTCGGATTTGAAGCGCTCCAAGAAATTCTTCCACTCATCTACAGAGGTAAAGGTATGAAATAATCTGGTCATGTTAAATATATAACACCGACAAAAGCCACAACGTAAAGGTTATTTCGCATTGCAGGTTGGCTTTAGATACAACAGTAACTTCAGAATGTTTTCTATCTAAGATTGGGAAATGAAAATGACCAACAATCAACCTGACGTCTTCCACCACATAACATCTGTAGTAAAAGGATAGTAAATATATGACATGCTAATGACAACCAGAAGTCAGAATTACCTGGATATATCTTTTGCATGTAAGATAGGATGGATGCACCATCTTCGGTTGAATGAAGTTCCTCTTCTGAAAAGTTAACTTCTTCTGTGTAGTATGGGGTCATTATACTGTATTATAAAAAGAGTTCCTAAGTGAAAAACACGCCATAGATCTGTATCCAAGAAGTAAAACAAAACTCAAAGAGGACAACAGAAATATTGAGACTACAACTACCACTAGTTTGGGCGCTTGGAGACATGGACAAAGTTGTGTAAACTAGTAAAATCACTTTGGTAGGAAGTATAAACTAGTTAATCACCTTGGTACAGAAATATGTTTAACACCCTCAAGCAAAACACAACATAATTCATCAGACTACATAAAAGCTCAATGTTTCAAGACCCTATATCTAGAGTAATCACTAAATAATTGTAAGATTGTCTCTTTCACTTTTAGCTCCGTATCAACAACATGCATATTTAATGGGTCCAGATGTCACAGACATACTGAAGTCCCTAAAGCCTATATTTTTTTTGTTCAAGCAAGAAGTTCAGGTTTAATTAAGGGTTTTGTACCTGTATATATATATATATATACTCCAAACCAACCATATTCGTAAATTGGGATGGAAAAATTGCTTCCACCTCCCTTAGAATTTCAATCTAGCTGTTGTTCTGGTTTAATACAACACAGGAAGTGAGGAAGGGAACATAATTTTTCATTAGGGGTTTCAGTACCTAAATATCCCCCAAATCAACCATATCCGCAAATTGTGATGGGAATTGCTTCCACCCCCATTAGAATTTCAATCTAGTTGTTGCACCCCAGAAATTCACTTGGTTACTTCTGTTTCCTTTCATTAAGGAGGTGAACTAGGAAACATGTTTCTAAAAATATAAGTGTAATAGTTACATTTTGGGTGACAAGAACCAAACCTTATTTCACTAATTATGCTATAACTATTGCAGACTTCTGGGTCTCAAGTGTACATTAAGCAACCAGATAGGAACTTGTGCTTACTATTATGCAATTTTAGGTGAAGGAAAGAAAGAAAAAAAATCTTGGCACCTCAAAGAAAAGGATAATATGAAAATTAGTTGAACATTAAACCATAAAAATTATAATTAGTGCATTTCACAGGTAACTTTTGTCATTTGTGAGTAGTGGGCTTCTTGCTTTTAGTTAGTTTCCCATTTAACTACAAAGGTTTTGAGACCTTCCGGAATTCATTTCCTAGTCTTTCACTGAAGCTTTTGTTTCTTCTTATTCAGTTTATGTCATATTTGGAAACTTTCTTTGAGAGATGTTTTTACAAAGAAAGAAAGAAGTTAGGTTCCAATGCCTAAAAATTTAAGCATCTAACTGTACTGAAATCACATTGCATCTATTAATCAACTATCAGATTCTGCTGGAAACTGCCAGAGATTTGATCCTTAAATCTAATATTAACCTTGGTTGTATGTCATACAATTGACTAAATGGACATCTGGTATTGGTGCAAATTGCTAAACAAACAGCTTTCAGAGCAGATTTAAATCTTTCCTATATATTCTTGAAGTCCCAAACTACAATGTGCAATTGGTAAGAAGTGTTTACAGAGATTGATAGTTGATGCCAAGTAAATATACAACAAAGAACGTGTCAATGACCTTAAAAGTATCTGAGCATACCTGAATGAGAACATATTGCGAACTTTAGGGGCATTAGGCATATCCATAAAAAGAGAAGTTGCAAAGAAAGAAATGCGTCGTCGAGCCTCCAAGTTAAGTGGAACATCCGCATCTTTGTCTTTGACAGTAAGCAACAAAAACAAACGTTTGACCTGACATAAAACTTTCAATGGGTTAAAGAAAACATGCTGCATAGATGACCTTATATAAGTGCCAAACCTGTTGCCTCAGAGCACCATCATCGGGAAGTGGAAAATGTATAGGACTGGGAGACACTGATGCAAACAACTCAGGTGCATATTCAAATGAATCATTATCTCTTTCATGATTTCTGGAATTGATAATATCCAATATTCTGTAAGAGATGGAAATAAATTAATACATGAATGTTGACTTACAGAAATATAACTTTAAGATCTCCTATTTTACCTGGAACCATGTATCATCATATCTTTTATCAGAATCTCCACTACATCTTGCAGTAAAATAACTAATCTATCTCGATGTGCTCGCTTGTTTCTCAACTTAAGCAAAGACATGCCACACAACACAGAAGAAAATGCTAACAGTAAGAGCAAATGATATATTAAAATTATAGGTATGAACAGTTAAAAAATTGCAACATACCAGTATTTCGACAAGCTGACAAAATTTATCATGCAGATTAGGCAGTTTGTCCATCTTGATGTCTGTAAGAAGGCTGTTACTTCTGATACTCGTTTCCATTTCATTGAATATGGAATCTACAACCCTGGAAGCCACGTACATTTTTATAATAACAAAAAAAATGTAAAGTACTATGCAGATGTTGGCTATACAAGTGGTGTCCATTAGATCAAAGCATAAGAGTATATAGACTTACCTTTTTTCATGCTCACCAATAACAAGAACACTAAATACGATCTTCAGCGACTCATAACACTCAGTGATGGCATATAACATATAGTAGTCTTTCATCATTTTTCTGTGTAGGTGCTCATGAGTCCCAACAAAATTGCTGGTCATGTTCAAGGCTGTTGAAAACTGTAAAGGCTAAGTAAGTTATAGATGATAAGCATGTCAACCTAATGACTTATCTCAAATAAGGGGATTTACCCTGGTGGCAAGAAGAAATAACGGCCATTTAGGTTTGCCATGACTGTAATCAGACGGCAGTGGCATGACCATTAAATCCATCTCCCTGGTTGCACAAAAAATCAAATCAATAATTATTAATGTTATGGACGATTGTGCGTATAAAAAGAAACCACTAACCTATTGCTTATTAAGTCCTCTGAACGGAAGCTACTGATAATTTGATTCCAAACTAGAGCAAATTTAGCAAGATCACTTTCTCCAATTGCTGAACTCTGATGAAACAAGAATAAGGGTTATTGACAATGGGCGGCAAAACTTGTTTTAATTCTATACAGGATGGAAAGCATTGTTCACCTTGAATATTTTGCTGCACAAAAAACTTTTCAAGTTCCTCTTATTTTCTTTCTTTGATGAGTGAGGAACAAGAGAATAGCGGAACACAGATGGCAAGGAGTGGAATCGACTCCGCACCATTCCCATTGTACGAATCTGAATGAAGACATTCCAAAAATTAAGCTCAGATAATTCAAAATTCAAGCCAAACCCACAATTTTCCTTCTAACAATGCAATTTTGCAGAGATGAAAGCGACCTCTCCAAGATGATGAATGATACCATAAAGTCCACCAAAAATCATACAAAAAACAGAATACCATATTTGTGTGTCCATGAAATACACCTGCATAACATTAAAAAAGCATACATTCAAACAGGAAATAATTCTAAATGTAGAAACATGAGGTAGAAGTTAAACATATGAAAATAATCTTGCTAGGTCAGAACATCCTCACAAGAATAATTGGGGTCCACAAAGCAAGAATTGCACCAGCATTGCTCTTCGCTGATGAAAGATGATATTAGGAGATATAACAACACCGTTAAAGTTTATCACTATGTGTTAGAAGTCATAAAACCGAAGTTACCTTCTGGAAATAACTCATGCCAATCATAATTATTCACGCTAACTTTCATTATCTGCTTCGTGGGTTCTACAAGTGGTTTTATCTACAACATGAGAAGCCCCAATATTAAATATCCATGAAAAGAAGACCCACGCAAGAACCCATAGTTTTCAAACATTTTGAAATAATCAAATTAGAAACTCCTAAAGTGAAACAACTTAATACATCTCAATAAGTTGCATACTATTAATTGGTAGTGAACACTGAAGAATTTGAATTATCAAAGAAAATTGTGATACAGGCTTTGCGATTGTTTTCACAGTATGAAAGCATTCACCATTCCTATTGTTAGTATTGAACAATAACCATGCCCATTGTTAGTATTGAACACCAAGTTGGAGAGAAATCGTTTCAATAAAATATCAGTAACTTCAAAGAAAAATGAATTTCCGTAATAAAAATTACATAAACAATAAGGCAGATTTGTTTTCCTGCCTTGAGGTACTACTAGTTAGATATGTTAAGCCATCATCACTTTGTTCCATGACATTATTTGGGTTCATTTGTGGTTTGAAAAAATAGAAAGCAACGCATGTTACGCATGAGCTTCTCAATTTGCCTAGGGTACAATAGCTCTCAGAAGGAACAATTTATTACCTCAAAGTGATAACTGAACAGAAATTTGCATGACAACAGAATAGCCCAGAATGCTGTATACCTGAATTATTTTAATGAGGGAAGGTATTAATCCAGCTATATAAAGTAATCAAAATATTCACATTAATAGTTCAGGAGATTTACTTTAGAAGAGATACCAAGTCTTCCTGCATGCCTCTTCCCACAAATAATCGCGGCTGGAGGAAGAAATACATCATTGTTTTCAGTAACTTTTTTTGGGAAATACGTTTCAAGATTTTAAGATGTAAGAAACTAATGCTTAAATTTAGCAGTGACTAAAGAAAGTCAAATGTGTGAACTAGAACAAGGTTGTCAGAGTATAAGAAGAGTGAAAGAGTTTTATGGATAACTGAAATGGGATGTATCCACGAGTAAATGAGAGAATGTGAATACAGGGATACAATGAATCCTTAAACAATAGGATATGGGGAAATGAGCAGACGTGTGTAACAAACTGACATACCTAGTGATTAGCAGTAAACAGGATTTGATTTATCAAAAAGGAAAACAAATCAGAACAATATTCATTAACAATACTAATATCAAACTAAAGAAAACATTTACAAAGTTTGGTCCACTTCCTGACCTAATATGAGCATACAACTCTATTCTACCTTTGGCATCTTTTGAAGTTGTTTAGATTGTGTTGAAATATAGCTAACCGGCTCTTTTATAACCTGATCAGCTCTGTCATTTCGAATGGCTTCATTATTCAACACGTACCTGATGCGTAAAATATACTAACTTCGAAGTCCCCATTATATTTAACTTATGAATCTGCGTTGACAGTGAGTGTATTTGCTCCAAAACTAGTGTTTAAACATATTCACTCTTGTATATGCATAAAATGCGCACCCCCCCCCCAAAAAAAAAAAAAAGAAGTATATTTCCTCACCTCAAAATTGCGCTTGTAGGCTATGATTCCCATGAAGTTACTGTTATGATATGTTTTTTCTTGAGGAGAATGATGTCCATGTCAGTTCCATAAGAACAATGAGGTGATGATGAAAACTCTACTAAATCGAGAACTTTCATCTAAAGAACTACTCTAATGATATCTAGCTATTGCTCAAATATTGCCTGCTACCCAGAGATTACCCCCCCCCCCCAAAAAAAAAAAAAAGAAGTATATTTCCTCACCTCAAAATTGCGCTTGTAGGCTATGATTCCCATGAAGTTACTGTTATGATATGTTTTTTCTTGAGGAGAATGATGTCCATGTCAGTTCCATAAGAACAATGAGGTGATGATGAAAACTCTACTAAATCGAGAACTTTCATCTAAAGAACTACTCTAATGATATCTAGCTATTGCTCAAATATTGCCTGCTACCCAGAGATTAAAATAGGATGTCTATTCGACATCAGTTTCTAGAAATCAGCTAGCTATCTCCATAGTTAATGAACTTCTTAGTTGATTCAGGAGCATCATTAAGGAGTCAAGATCTAATTGGTTAACCATTCTAATTATTGTTTAACCAAGAACTTCTGAATACGCCATTGGATAAAAGAAAATGTGCCCTGGAAGAAAACCTTACTGATATTGAAATATGGGGTCTCCAAAGCTCACAAGTGCCTATGTTTTGGTATGATGGCAAGGACCTCAAGATGATACCAGAGACATCCAAGTTAATTCTACTTCCATGCATGTAATAGAAATGGACCAAGTAGAAAATTGAGCTACACAAAATCTAGGATTTTTTTCCTTCAAAATGTTGGTCAAGCTACAGTATGTTATACCCCTCAACCCTCAAATTACAAAGAATGCAAATTGAGGGAATTTTGTTAAGTATGTGTAAGTAAAAAATATTTACAAAAAGATAAATTTAAAACATGTTGTCACAACACATAAGTACACAACTTATTATTTTTAGAGGTAACTGATTTGAGAAATATATGTACACAAACTGTCACTAGTGTGAGCTTGAAATACTTGTATTTTCACCTGTTTTTCTGCAGATCAATCGAGCATTAACTACTTTGGTTAATGAAGATATACAAACTACAGCTCAAAATTCAAACAAAACTTAAAGAAGACGCCTATTTTTTATTGGTCAACAAAGATCACCTACTAGCATGTTCAAGCAATACTCTTCTACACAGATGTTCAGATGTAGCGGCATAAAAAAGACAGGTCTTTGCAAGACCATCCAATTTTTATTAATTTATAATCTGTACACATCAGAGAAAAAAAATAGTGGCAACATCTCAATCTAGCATGATGTTCTGAAATATGAAAATTAATGTACCTGAGTCCACCATGATAGAATGTCACAAGCCTGCCAGTTTGAGGTCTCAATGAATCTACTGACTGGAGGGACAAGAAATAATATGATCCCAACAGCATTGCTCATCAGGTAAATTACGACAAGAACCATATATGGTGACAAGTAGAACTTGTTCATGTTGCACTCAGGCTGTTGAATAGAACAAGGACTTGTTCGAGAGACAGCATAAGAAGATGTAAGTGCTATAGTCCATGTGGCAGCAACAAGAAACTTCAGCACAAATCTTAATTTTTGATAGTAGTTCATGGTGTTCCTTGCTTTCCATTTAAACGCAATGTCAAGAATCACTGCAACCATTGATGAAACAATTGGAAGCCTCAAGTCAGTGAATCTTTTGTAACATACTTCGCTTGGGAAAGTAGAAAAACTGATAAGCACATGACCCACAAAAAGAAGATACATGAGGTCAAAATGATGTATTTTTGGGCATGCCTGGCAATCCTAGGTTATAATCCATTTGAAGATTATAACTCAAATGGATTAAAATGTTAGGTGTTTAGTAAGAGGGTAGTTCATAATCCATGTAATTTTTGTTAAAATGATATAAAACCTTTAAAAGTAGGAGAGCGTAGAAGCAATAAAGAGATGTGAAAAAAGATAGTTCTTTTGTCTTTCTCTTGACCCAACATGTGCATTATAATCCCCCAAGAAAATAATCTAAGAATCCTAGGCTGTTTTTGGTGAATTATAAACCAAAATAAGCCATTCAAATGTGGTTACCAAACATGCAAAAGTTGACTATAATCCACTTTTACCAAGTTGCCAAACATGCTCCTAAACTCTCAATTAGCATCTGAATGCAGCCTAATAGCGTAAAGGGTAAAAAATTCTGATGGAGTTCTAATTGAATCAATGGAAAACTAAAGAAATGACTAGCCAAACCTTGTATGAGCCTGAGGACTGCATTTGTGATAAAGATGGTAACAATATCTTCAAAGACTATCAGGTCAAACACTTCGAAAGGGGTTTCTAAACCATGCCAAGCCATAATTATGTTTGCCTGAAAAAATGTAGCCATATTCACATCATCAAGATCATCTCTCTCTCACTCTCTCAATGTGAAGCAGAAAGCATAAGGTTCATTCATTTAAACAACTGGACTAGACCTGGAGGGATAACAGAAGAAAAGTCCACATTCTATCAAAGCTTCTAAAAATATGCCAAAAAGATCGCAATTCTACAAAATTTGTCTTCCCCAGCCACTTCTTCTGAGAAACCTCACTTGTAGTTGCCTGAATATCATATGAAATTGCCAAAAGAAATGATAATCAAAGAATTTAACTAATGAAAAATGTAGGCTAGAACATTTGGACAATTTAGTTGTAATCATGTAGATAATAGCCAATTAGTCAAACATTACACCTCAAGTCGTACATTCATATTACTTTCCTTCTGACATTGACCAACAAAGAAAGCTACCATGTGCAAAATATGGATTTCATAGCTAACCTTGAAGTATTACTTGATATATAACACTCCAAGGTACTAGTTGACGTAAATTATTCCAAACCACCTGTTAACTTCTGGAGCAAAATGAGTCTCAATGGGGAAAAAAATACTTAAAGGGAGGCAAAATAAGTTTGAGAAGAAAAGCGTGCAACATAAAATGATGGAATTAAATGGTGCACTTAAATTGATATTAATGACACCCACCCCTCCCGCGCCCTAACCCCCACACACACCCAAAAGAGACAAAAAAAACTCAAACCACTCAACAACAGAAAGAAGTACCCAGTAAAAGAAGGGAATTATACTGGAAGGAGAGCAAGAAGGCTATAGCACATTATTTTATTTCATCTATTTCATCTATCATTTTGATTTTAGTGATCTATTATTATTAAGGTAATGACTTTATAACCAGTCAACAACAGAAAGAAGAAGCCAGCAAAGGAAGGGAACTTAGGTAATGAAAGAAAGAAAGACTTCAGTATAACACCCATAACATGTAGCGATCTATTATTATTAAGTTAATGAGTGTATATATTCAAAAATAATGAAACTACTGATTGGAAATTCAAAAAAAGAAAAAAGAGAAATTGAAAGCACGTGTAAACAACAACAGTTTGATCAGACCTGAGAGTTATTACTTTGATCTGTTGGAGGTGATGTACAAAAAAAATCATGCTCCAGGCGCATTGGCCACCCAAGCTTGAAACAATCAACAGACCTACATATGTTAATACAGTTACGGGAAACTATAACAAGGAACACAAATTTTGTACTTCAACCAAAAAAAAATCTTAAGGGAAGAAAACAGAAATTGATACTACAAACCAGAAAAACTCGTTTAGGTCATCATAATTTCTCCATGAAGAATGGTCAGCGGTTCCATTTTTGTTCTTCCTAGCTTCCTTTACTAGGCGAACAAGAATACAAAAACAGTATAAGCATACATAAAGCTTGAAGCTAATAGTATAGAGTTAAAATGACAATAGCACCTCATATATGACCCTGTATAAAGGAGAAACTACATTCTCAAGGAAAGACTCAGATCCACCTCCATACGCTGGTAAAACTTTCTCACCAGTATTTAAGCTCACAGCACCAGTCAGCACTCCATATAACTCGTATGCCATCTGACAAATAATTGTTATTTCATAAAAAGAGAAGCAACAGAAAATGAAGAATTTCTGAGAAAATATAGCAGTTTCTAAAATTTATAACCAATATAACTAGTGGGGATGCTATCTGTGATGCTCTCTGTAGGAAACAGGGAAAGATAAATCAGAAACAGAGAAGAACGTCTAAACCTGTATTAGTATTATGTGACCACTAAAATAAAAAGATAAAACCAATAAACAAGTCAACTTTGTTGCAATGGTACTTTGACAAAATAGATATAATCGTAATTGATATGCACCTTGTTGAATACCCTATAGTTTGTCTCATATTAATAATATTTTATTCCCAACATATTCAAGACGCATAAGATATGTACCCAAGACTAAGAGTAAAAAAGAGTTAATGCATGAATGATAAGTTCATGTGTTCCTGACTTGACATGCACTTAGACAATTTGTCTACTCTCTTAAGAAAGAATTATATTGTTTGTGGGTCTATTTATGTAGATTGCATATGTTTATTTATTTATTTTTTATTAGCCATTATAGCTTACAAATCCACGAGATACATAAATAATGTTAACCAGTACACATATCACTGTTATAAATAGCGGTAAATAGCGCCGCAATAGCGGCGCTAATAGCGTTAGCGGTCCCTTCCCGCGACGCTATCGCCCGCTACGCTATCGCGCAATAGTGGTGACATATTGCGGAATATGTCTGTTCGCAAAAACGACCAATAGTGTGTCATAACAGTAAATAGTGAGCAATTGCATTCGAAATTTGCTTTTTGACTGCTATTTAAAAGCGATTTGAGGCTTATTTTTTTAAAATTAAACTCAACCATTGATCATTGCATTCCACCGTCTCTTGTGATTTTCAGCATACTTCCGCCACCTCTCATAGCCTCTGACACCTACCTTGATACTTCCTCTCACCTCCTTCACTATGAGCTCCTCTTAAGGCAGTCCTGCCACCGCTAAGCTCTTCTTCTCGAAGACGACGACTTTTTAAATCCTCCAGTTATCTTCGGTATTACGTGATGGTTACATATCTATTTCATGTTTAGGATCTCTTTAAATCATCCGATATGTACTTTTAGATTTCTTTTTCCTTTAATTTTTTTAGTATTTATACATATCTAAATTAGACAGCTATTTGACTTTGCGCTTTTTACTGTTATTTTGCCGTAATGGCCCGAAATAGCTTTAGCGATGCCTCAGCGCTACGCGACGCTATCCGCTATCGATAACCTTGACACATATATAACATTACTATCTCTTTACCCACAGTGCATATCCTCAGCGACGGAGCCAGGATTTTTCTTCTGGAGCGCTCAGTGCAATCATTATACTATGCATTGATAAAAAAGCTATCAAATAGTACAATGTCTTTGTTAACTTTCATATGGTTTAGTAGATTAAAGAATAACCTAAAGTAAAAAAGTTCTAAAAAAAGAAATATTTTCATGAATACTTTAATCATTTTTTTCATAACCACAAAATATAAATTATAATTTTTTTGTATACGTAACAGATTGACAATACACGATAAATTATACTAGTAAATTTATTTCAATCAATCTGAAAAAAATTTAACTACAAAACATATATAAAATAATTGTATAAATACATGACATAGAGAAATCATTTCACTTATTTATTTCTTAATGTAAAACCTTATGAAATTGAAAAACCCCTATTTCACAATTCCCTCACCAAATTGTAAAATCGCATGAAAGTATCAATCTAATTTCTACTATTAAAGACAAGAGTACATGGAAATTGATACCCCAATTTCCTATTATACGTGAAATGCAAAGAAAACTACATGAAAATACTATGTGTATATATTTAGGGGTTTTTTCATATTAGCCCTCTAAATCTTTTAAGTGATTTAAAATTAACCCCTCTACTTAGAGCCTGGCTAAATTTGGGAGAATATTATGTCATCTTTAACAGTCTTTGGCTTAAATAGCAGTTACACCCATATCCATTCAAATCCAAACTCCAAAAAATTTGAGTATAAGTTGGTAAAGATTATATTAGAATTAAACTATTAATTTTGGTGAATTTGGATGTTGATTTTGGTTGATTTGATAATTATCTATCCATAATTAACCACTACCCGACCGTAATATCAAATTTGGAAGGTGAATGTAACAAATGATAACTCCAGACACTTTAAAAATTCGGGAGACTAGTTGCAAGATATGAAGATTTGGGGGACTTACTTTCAAATATGAAAGGTTTCGAGATTAACTTTAAATATAAAAGTTTTCAACTAATTTTATATATGAAAGATTTTAGGGAGTATAGGGAAAAAATTTATATAAGCTACTTACAGAGCTTAGTAAAAAGCCGGGGGGCCATGGCCACCCCTGCCCCCATCCACCAATGTTGTACTAGATCTAAAGAGTTGATTTATCCTTGTAACATGCACCTTTATCATAACGTTTGCAATATAGCAAGAGGAACTAAAAAGTAAAGGTTACATTGTGAAATATGTAGCACAGACACTCAGGCATGAGTCTCAAGTTTGAAGCCTCCCCCCAGATAAGAAGATACAGAGCAATATATAAAATTTTGTATTGCTGCACTTCTTGTTTCACATATGGCAATCTGCAAAATAATGGACATAGTTAATAAAAAGTAACAGAGAAAATATTATTCATAAAATCTTAGAAAAATATCATCAAGGAGCGTAGCTGGCATTGCATAGTCCTTCCTGGAAATGCAAACTTAAGCACAAAAGTATATAGAAATCTTACAGAAGGTTGCTTTTTCGGCCTAGAAATTTGCACCAGTTCTTATAGTTTCTGAAGAGTTTTGTCATAAGTTCATCCACAGCTCTGTCATCAAGCTGACAATAGATAGAAATTTTAGGGCTCATCCATAAAAATTGACTGACTAATTTAAGGTTTATACCTTTGACATTGATGCGGACTTAGAATTCTGTCTAACATGTATGTTAGAAAGCAATAAGATTAGATGCTCCCGTTGGTTAGCTACATTTCCTTTCTGGAAAAACACATTCATGTTGTCAGCTCCTCATCACTGACTAATAGTGAGTAAAGTGAGAAGAAAAATTAAAAGAGGCAAATTGCTCTGCAATTAACAGTTTGCTTCAGTGAAGAAACCAATGAAGATAAATGACATATCAGCAGATAGTTTCTGATAATATACCTGAAACCCAAACCAGCGTTGCAACCAATCAAGTAAATCCATATAGATACATATTTCCTGATTAGTGTCCGATGGCAAACCTCTGATGCTATGGATAGCTGAAAGAGCAGCTTTGATCTATATTCCACCACAAACAATGCAATCAATGTAAACTGTGACTTTACATTTATGGTGTAAGTTAAGAAAGAACCAAGCAAAGTTCAACTCTTTATCAAGTGTCAAAAGTACACAATGCCTCAATTGAAATGTTATTCATTTTGTTAGCCTTAATTGTTAGATGTTTAACTGTTAAGGCTATGAGCATTTAGAAGAAATGTAAATCAGTAAATATTAGAAGAATGAAATGACTAGGATATCTTGCTGGATTGCGTGTAACCTCCGGAAAGAGCATTATTTCTTGTTGGGTACCACCAGGATCAAGTGGAAGAATGTTGTATGGACGATATGATCCTGACCTTTCTTCGATACGCTCACCAGAAGCAAGGACCTGTAAATAAGAGAAAAATACTAAATAGGAAAATAAAACTGATATTTGCAGAGGACAGAGACAAATCAAAGAGATTCAAGAGTATGTTTCTTTTTGTAGTTTTTTTTTTTGTAAATTGTAGAGGATAAAAGAATGTCTGTAACCTCAGGAACAGCTCCAGATAGAACTGCTTTCAATACTTCGGATAGAACTGAGATGATTTCATGTTCATTCATCAACATCTTTCTGCAATAAATTCAAGTTAGAGCTAACCAAATAATACAGTAAAAAATGAAAGTTATGGAACTAAATCCAACAATAATTTGAATGCATTTTATGAAAATGCAGAGTGAAATATTATTTTAAACATGGCACGTATATGTCCATAAAGTACATACTTGTGGTAGAAGGATTTCAATTCTCTAGCATCACTTTTTTCCTTTCGCTGCACAGTGGTGGCTTTATCATCCTATTATCATACAACGAATGTAAAGCATTGAATAATTAGAGATTGAACTAGATAACACCAACAAGAAAAAAAATTATTATTGATATTCAATATTTGTCCAGTGTAGAAACAAGATGTCATGAAGATTACCGAAAATAACATGTCAAATAGCAACGAAGAAGATAATAGAGAAAAGAAGTCATTTAAAGAAGAGAAAAGTGGCAATGAGAAATGTTTTAGCCGATGTTGGGAAATGGTTAGATCAATGTGTGGCTAAATATTTTGTGACTCATGACACAACTGCGATTAATCCATTTAAATCAATGAAGATCAGCATTATTAGTCGAATTCATCTTTTGATGTCGGCATTTCTAACACAGAGCATAGAGTGGGTGGATTATCCTTGAATATGAATGTTTGTGTTTCTTACAAACTTTCTGGGCACAGGTCAAAGTTGAACTTAAGGCAGACATTTAAGGCTTGTTTGCATGTAAATTCTATCTCACCACACTGGTGTAGCTGGTTCACCTCTAAATGTTGGTTGAGGCACTATGCTCATGAGCATTAAGTTGGTGGGTTGGATTTGACTAGATATAAGACAAGATGGAGATTTTTTGGTAATGTCACTTCCATTCAATTTCAAATGGATTAGTATAATAAAGGCAAGAGGTTAGAATTTAGTCATAACAAAAAGATGCTTACTTGTATGTCTGGGTAATACGTATGGACTTTAGACCCATGACTCAAACATGGTTAGTCCTTGTGAGACAATATGGATCTAAGAAGATTAGCTTAATCCACTTTGCAAGTAGGCCTTTGCAACCCATATAGCAAATTGCATTACTGAGAGATTTCACTAAACTTTATAAACCAATATGCCCCCAATTACTCCACGAGTTGTACATTGACTTATTTTAAATCGAAAACTTGTCCAATCAGCACTTAAATTTGACAATGATGATGTTTTTTGTATGTTCTGTGGGGGAGGACAGCGAGATACTTTTGCACCTTTGAACATCTATAAAAGAAGTTCTTGACTTGCAGAAAATAAAAATACTTACGAATCATTCTGCTTGCTGCTGCAAACTTTAGTCAAAATGAAACCAAGAATAACACGATGGGTAGAAAAAAATGTTGGTGCAGAAGCAACAGATGAAGAACAGGTCTAATAACTAATGCTTGATATCAACTTTTAATCTTTTAGATGTATAATACTATCCTGCAAGATAAGTTTCTGTTATATTTATCGCAAGAGTTGTAGTCCTGTCTAAGCAATTAAACGCTAATTGTTAATACTTGCATGGTTTGTTACCTATATTATGGGCCCTAGATCTTAGTCTTTTGCACACTTTATTCAACAAAAGTTTATTTGGGGCACACGCGATTCCTCCATTGAGGAGCACATTGAAAAAAAAAATCAAGAAAGCATGAAGTTTTGAACTTAAAGCTAGAGAACCGGTTCTGCTTCATCAGGAGCAAGATACTCCATAGTCATCCCTTCTTCTGTGTTTCATTATGTTTTACTTCTAAATTTCTTATTCATAAAGATGACAATGCTAGCAATGATAAAAGTTGCTATCATAATGACTGCCTTAGAAAGGGACTGAAAAAATGAACTTCTGCTAGGCAATCTACTAGTAGAAACAATCCTGAAAAAATGGTGCTGGGTTGATTTTTCAGACCTATAATTCTTCAAAATAAAGACCTAAATTACTTCACAAGAACAAAATTGTGAATTGAACGAATATATTAACCCTTTGTTACGTGGCTTAATGTATAAGATGGCAGTAAATCATTTGAATATTTACTTGTTTAATATTGATAATAATAGGTATGCAATGTTCATTCTTCGTGTCATATTGATTGTGTCTGAGACTATTCACATGCTTTATAATGGATAAAATACAATGAATAAAAGATTTTATTGGCATTTGACTTTATTTTAGGTATCTATTAAAAAGAGTCTTGAGAAATATGCACCTGTTCGAGGCGTTGAAGAAGAGAGGTTTTGAATTGTCGAACTCCACGCCCAGTTGAATGAGGATCAATTATATGTGCCCTTTCAAAAGCATGGAAGCGACCTGAGATAAAATTTAGTCATAAGTAATAACTAAATGTTAAAGTTAAATGGGAAAAGGATTTAGTTTTGATAGATTGTGACAATGTATAGCTTCAAAATTAAACACCAATTTGCTGTGCGCTAGACAGCTTCATTATGAGTAATAGATGCCTCTTACCAGTTTCCTTCTATAGAGATAATTTCATTAGAAGTTATTAGGCTTAATGCTAGTGCAAAACCTATTATAATGATAGCAGGTGTAGAGTTTTCATAATTTCATGGATGTAGACATTTCAGATTTCCAAGGATGTACCACGGAGATAATAACTTTTGAAGAATAAAATTGTAATATATTAGAATTAATATAAAACTATAATTCTCAACTCTCACCATAACTTTGGAGTTTTGATGTAATGGTTATAGTGACTAAATTTAAGATGGTACCAGAGCAACATAGGTTCGAATATTGTTGGCCACAAATTTAATGCTTATTTTAAAAAATTATTACCGTTATGTGAGTCTGGGTCTTTAACCCATAAAAAGGGCTCTCGGTCTGGGTCTTTAGCCCATAAAAAGGGCTCTCGCCTTGTGGAGACATGTTAGAATTAATATAAAACTATAATCCTTAACCCTCATCATAACTTCAGAGTTTTGATCTAATGATTAAAGGGACTAAATTTAAGACAATATATAACTTTATTTCCAAATAGATTTCTGCTACATTACTCTTTTGTTCTTATTTAATTTTCCTAAGGGTCACTCCTCAATGAAGTTAAACTAGCATATCACTCTTAATTGTCTCCATCAAAGTTCGCTTAGACAGATATCTTGTCCTCCTTGCTCCACTAGTTATAATCCTATCTTCCAATTAGTGTATTTAGTGCCCTCTATTCTCCAGACCAAATGATCTCAATCGATCTTCTACTCGATAAGGAGAAAGAACCTAATGGTGTGTTTAGGAACCACTCTAAATTTGGGCTAGGACTAGTTCTGACCCTGTTTTAAACAAAATTGATTATCTTGGACCAAGGGAGGAGTGGTCCAAAATAAAACTAATTTTGTTTTCCGAGCAGGGAGGTGATCCAAGACAACGTGTTTAATAGTATGTTTGGATGGAGGTAATGGGGTGTAGGGGAAGGGAAACAAAGAGTTAACTTTATTTGGGAGTTTTTTTTAAGGGGGGTAATGTAGGATAAGGGAGGGAAAAGAGGTCTAATTTTTCTCCCCTTCAAATTGGGTGGGGGGGTGGGGTGGGGGTGGGGGTGGGGGGTAGAGGAGAAGGAGAGAATTAATTTAAAATTTTTATCATATAAACACAATTTTACTTCTTATCAACATAGATCAACAGCTGAAATTTAATTTCAAATCCCTTCTATTCCATACCCTTCACTTTATTAGAACTCTCAAACATGGTAAGATAAATTCTTCTCCATTCTCATTACAAAACTTCCAAATAAGATATTATATTTTTCCTTCCTTTCTATATATTTTCTTCTCCTATCTAATCTTTCCTTTCCTTCCTGTAGTAAACTCCCAAACATAGTGTAAAAGCCAAATTTGGCCTTACAAAAACTACGCCAATCTTGGTTCAATTTTATCCAAAACAAGTTTTTTTCTCAAAATGAGGCCATCTTGAACCTAGCCCTATTCTTAAGAGTTGCCAAACACACCGTAACTTCCTAAAAATGTACTTGTTTTTTCTCCCATCTCGAGCATGTCAGCTGATCCTTTGTAGCATCTCTGTTAGCTCGTCCTTTGTAACATCTCATTTCTATTATACAATGTAGAAAATAGCGCGTTCCGTAGCGTAAAATAGCGCATAGCGTAACATAGTGTTGCCCTACCGCTACATAGAGTTGGAAAATAGCGCACAGACAATATAACGCACGCTATTTTAGCCATAGCGTACACTATGTAACGTATCGTCATGGCGCTACGTAGCTTAAGTTAAATTGTTCAATGGCTGGGATTGGTTTTTAAAGAATTCGATGGTTGTGATTGAGTTTAAGTGGGTGGAGCCCACTTTTTATAAGTTATAGTCACACCTAACCCTAAAGGCTTGCTCCTGTCGCCTCCAGAACCTCCAGATCAAACTCATTACCTTCGTCTTCTTCTTCGGTTCTTCCTTCGACTTCAGCTCATCAATTCCTTCGACTAGTCATCCTCATCTTCATCCTCATCATCATCTCCGCTGCTCCACCGACTTCGTCATCATCTCCGCTGCTCCATTCGACTTCATCATCATCTCTGTTGATTGTTAAAGCATACATGGTTGATTTTGTTGTGAAATTGTGATGATATATTGATTTGTGATAGTATGTTTATGATGATATGTTTGAGAATTACGATGATTATTCATATTATTTGATTTTGAACGTTATGTATCTATAAAATATTCAAATAATAATAAATTATTTAAACCTACGTTAAGAGTTACGCTATTTTGCGTTTTACGTTAACCGGAGGTAAGCGTTACGCTATGCATTATCGCTATTTTCAGCATTGTTGTTATAATCATATTCTTGAACATGTTGATTCTCAACTATCCAACATTAAGCATTGCTAGTCTTAAAGGCATCTATGTATTTTCATAAAATGGAAAAGCAGACAATTAAATCTCACATAAAGGTGCCTTAGTGACTTGCAATAATGACAACATGTTAGCAGCTGTAGAAAGAATGTAACGTCTGATCAAATAATATTTTCATAATTATGTCTATAAGGACAAATTCAAGTGTTGGACCAAATATAAAGATAGTGATCTACCATCAATTAAAATTTTGCCATAGATTAATAGCATAATTTAAAACTATTAAAAATAAGGGTTTTTTCGATATTACTTCCCCAATTCGTCATGTTCTTTTGGTAGAATGTTATTAAATGTTTAGTTATCTAGGTATTTGGGGGCAAATATCCATATCCGCTTATGTAACCCTCCTAATCTCTATTTAAGAGATATAGGGGATTAATATTTTTAAAAAAACCTAGAAATAAGTAAGTCAGCATATTCCCTTGACAGCATTGACTACTGTTTCACTCTATGTCATATCCCCTCCAAATAAACCTCTACAAGAGAAGTTTTAAGCCACCAACATAAAGAATTTTCTTTTGCAACAAAATGTCAGATCTTTATACATTCTATGTGATGGGAAACTAAAATCGTCCATGCTGTCTGGAAGAGTTACATAAAATCTACATCGACTTCGAAAATCAGAGAAGACCCCCTAAACTTTGATGCGCAGAGGTGTTTTGTGCAACTCACCCTAAAGTTGAGTGCCTTGGTAAAATTTACCCAAATCATAAATGTACCCAAATTTGATAATTTAAAAAAAAAAAAACCCTAGATTTCTTACAGAGGTAAGCAACGCGAGGAGACTCGGCCTCGATCTGGTTGGCAACACGAAGAAATGGTCGGACCTCAGAAACAAGCGTCTGGGGGAGCTTCTCGCTGTCGAAGGGCTCCGCAGCGT